GACTCTTAATATTTGTTTTCAAATATTTAGGTATATATTCACATGCTTAGTACTGTGTCATGCTTTGCAAGTGATAATTTGTGTTTTTTGTTTTCAAAAAAATTAAATGTAATTTAAATAAAATATTAAAGAATGTGTAGTATATAAGTAACTGTTTTTGAAATTACACTGAAGACGAGACATACCATGGTCACGAAACGTCTGTAATTAATAAATTAAGTGTGTATAAAAATCTGATCTTTAACATTATATATATATATATATATATATATACATATTTATATATATATATATATATATATACATATTCACTTTCCCTAATAATTGACTTGACAAATATACAACTCGAGCCGTCTTTCGACCGCCAATGATTTTGTAATCAAACTTGAGAACTTCTTATGATAATGCACTTCCTTTGCATTTGTTCGAAACGTAAACACTCTAAGAAAATTGACAACAAAAACACAATTTGTTAATAAAAATAAAAATAATTACAATTTATCAATGTTGTGGCTTTGTGAAAAAAATAATTCATTCTCATTGTTTATTTTTGCAAGACAATGTTCAAACTATTTAGTTATATATTATTAATTTTTAGTGTAAAATTATGTTTCTGTGCAATTGTTATAAACAAATTACCAGAGAATGAAATTTCGTACGAGGATTGGATTTTTGAACCGGACGACATTGGTACGGAACCTTATATTTTTAAATCCACACAGTAAGCAAAAAAATAAAATACTTAGTAATAATTAATAATTATAGTTAATTGATATCTTATCTTATATATAAAAATGAATCGCAAAATGTGTTGGTAAGCGCATGACTCAACAACGCCTGGACCAATTTGGCCAAATCTTTTTTTAAAATGTTCTTCGAAGTCCAAAGATGGTTCTTACGGCGAGAAAAGATCGAATAATTGCCGGGGAAACCTTAAAAACAGCCCTTATCTTTTTCTCATACAAACGTTTTTTAAGTAAAACGTAAAATCAATTTGAGCTTTATTGCTATTATATAAAGTTCATATTAAATTACAAGTACTCACTGTAACACTCCTTCTAAACGATTATTCGAATTTTGATAAATCTTTCTAAAGTTTGTTAAGAAAATTTTCTAGATTATGTGGTTATAAAGTGCTGGGATGTATGTGCAATATTGTAGAAATAAATGGAAAAATTGCAAAAAACGACATGTCATTGTTTGCATTAAAAGCAAATGAAAACTGTCATCTGCCAAAAATTTCAATTTACTTATGAGCCTAGACAATATTAGAATATGTATAATATATTTATGATTATGAATAAGAAAAATGAAATGTCTACATTATTTTTGCCAAAGAGCAGCTGAGATGTGTCAGAAATTAAAATAATATAAAGATCAGTATATGTATGGCAGATTGAACGATGCACATATGAACAGGATATGACAAATTAATTCACTTAAAATATGAAAAAATAAATAAAAAAAAAGATTTCTTAATATTAAATTGCGTAGAAATTTATTCTCAATTTTTTCCCCAGGTTGCCAAAAAATGAACGCCTACTCCCAACTGTGGCCAATGGCCATTTGGGATACACTTTGAGCTCTGATACGATTTATATGAACGGTTTGTACAATGGTGAAGGCGGTAGGAGTCATAGGGCCAGAATTAGGGCCCATATAAGATGTGGGCCATCGATGGAAAATTTTGGAGGACCTTTGGAAAGGAAGAGTTTGGGACATTTTGAGTTGGATGTTAAGAAAGGAATTTATAAGTAAGCAATAATTTTTATTTATTTAATTCATCATTGTGTCTTTGTTCACGTTTAAAGGTTGCATATTCATCGAGATCGAGTTTTTTTTTCGTAAAAAATTAATCAGGTATTTTTTCATTTAAAAGTTTGAAACCTTAATTGATGTAATATATGTTTCTGATACAATTTTTCTTTATATTTGTATTTTTTTGTATAAAAGATCAGATTAATTTAAATCTAAATTCAAATTGAATGTCTTAGAAATTTGATTCATCAAATTGTTAAGACTGCGACTCAATTTACATTGGTGAATCTAGACAAAAATTATTGAAACGACTTCTAAAATATAGATATACTTAAAAATTAGTTAAAGAGAGTTAAGATAAGAAAAATTAACACATATTCAATTATCAATGGATGAAAAATGATGCAAATTAATTTGAATTGATGCATTTTTATAAATTAACATCCATTTAGGTTCATTAACAAAATTTAGGTTCATTCACCAACGTTCATATATTTTACCAAATATCATATATAATAAGAAAATAATGAAGTAAATTATTTTATTCACATAATTTACTTTTTGAATAATTTTTTTCTTCACAGATCAGTACAACGTACAAAAGAATATATATATGAACAACTTATTTACGCCCACAAATTTTATACAAGGACTTTGATAACTCAAATCAGGATTAGAAATATTGGTAAGAAAATTTTATGATTTTCTCTGACTTATTTACATTAATTAATAATTAATACATTGATCGCCACGATAATACAAAAAAATCTGGGTAACTTTATTAGATAATTTAGTTGACTTGACAAAATTCCTGAAAAAACACTATTTTTTGTGTCAGACATATACGATACTGACATGGCATTCAACGTGTTAAATATTAACATAACAAAGTATTAAAACGGTCAAAACTATTTTTAAATATTTATTAAAAATTAATCACTGTAGAAGTAAGAATAATTCTATACCATTTCACTAATACTTTTTAGTATACTTTTTACATGCGATTGTAATTATCTCGAATATTTGTGAGAAAACTTATCCATTTTAGTATTTGTTATCATAGTAGACATATTTAAGTATAATATAACAAAATTACAAAGTTCTAGAATGTCTAAAACTATTTTTAAATATTTTTCAAAAATTAATCACTATTTAATTCTCAATTATTTATAATGCAGTATACTTTTTACACGTAATTGTAAATATCTCGAATATTTGTGAGGAAACTTATCGATTTTAGTATTTGTTGTCATAGTAGACATATTTAAATATGACACATTAAAATTACAAAGTTCTAGAACGGCCAAAACTATTCTTAAATATTTTTCAAAAATTAATCACTATTTAATTCTCAATTATAATATTTATAATGCAGTATACTTTTTACACTTAATTGTAAATATCTCAAATATTTGTGAGAAAACATATCGATTTGACTATTTGTTGTCATAATAGACATATTTAAGTATAACATATTAAAATTACAAAGTTTTGGAATGTATAAAAAATTTTTTAAATATTTTTCAAAAATTAATGACTCTATTTAATTCTGAGTTATCTATAATGCAGTCAATACTTTCAGCATTTTTAGCACAAATACTAATACTATTTTTTTGAAAAAAAAAGTTTTAGAAACCTAGAAATCTTATCAAATCAGTTGTTAAAACTGCGACTTAACTTATATTGGTGAAACTTGACAAAATTTAATAAAACCGACTTCAACTACAAAACAATAATTCTAAAAATACCAAACAATTTAAGACTATGCTTACAGAACATATTATCACATTTAAACACAGTATAACATTTTTAACGACAAAAAAACTTTTCGGAAAATCCTAAACAATTCAAAACTATGCTTACAGAACATATTAACACATTAAAACACAGTATAAAATTTTTTAATCTAATTTCACTGCATTTGGGGAAAAAATTGTACAAAAGACGTATCAGTGAAGGATCTTTTATAACCATAAAGTAATAAACAAACAAAATGACCTTAAAATAAAATTTCAAAGATTTTTTTTTATTATTAGGCTTAGGCATTGTATATACTCATTAAATATTTTTTTGTAGTTAATAGGACATTACACATCCCAATGGAATGCGATCCAGGACCTACAAGTCAGGACATACGTTTCGATCCAACAAAATCCGGCATTTTCAACAACGGGAAAACACGTACAGGTATCTACAGGGAATGCGGCGAGACTGCCTTATCAGAGAACAAAACCTACCAGGAAAATTTAACACCAGTTTGCGTGTACTGGGTGAATGCCACGGATGTTAAAATCCAACCGTTGGATGTCGTTGACGTCGTTTTGGTTCAGAGCATGGATAATAAAAGAAACATTGCTGAGAAGGAGATTTTGGATGGTTTGTAGAAATGATATATATATAGGGTGTCCCAGAACTCAACGTCAATGAGAAAAATAATACAAATTTAAAAAAAAAATCTATCATGTAGTTTGGGAATTATGGGCTTTTAAGTACAACCTAGGGAGCTTTGATGAAATTGTGCTAATTTTTCGGTTATTGTGGTTGACTTTTATTATTTTTGTTCATTTAAACTTTGGAGCTTGAACCGTGAATAACATTTCTAGGACCACAGTTAGAAATAATGATACATTTACCCCAAGTTTTTAAGAATTAAGACATATTGTTGAACATGACTTCAAAATTTTTAAAATTGCTCAACTTTGAGAAGCTCTTCTTAGAAAAAAATGTACTAAAGTGTGTTGGAAAATGTCATCAAAAGTTTGTGCATTTATTCAGAATTGTAACATGTTGCAATACCTGTTAGTAAGTTACAAAAAACAATACGAGTAAAAAAATAAAAACCTAAAAATAAGCCATTATGTGCCAGAGCATTTCACTTAGTTTTTTATCCACACAAGCTTAATTATGAGATGATGAATAATAAATATATTTACCATGAGTAAAGCAAAGTGCGTAGATTTTACTAAAATTATAATTTTTTTCCTCAGTTTTAAATTTGATGCCAAAAAATTTACTAGACTCCCACATCAAGGCTTGGCAAGAAACTTGGAACGAAGCTCGCATCGAAATCGAAGGCGATTTAAAACTAGTAAATACCAAAAATATAATTAATTTTTTTAATACAATTATACTTTATAGTTTATAGTTTGATTATCCATTACTATTTTAGTCTAAAATAAATCTACGGAAGCCTCTATTACATTTTGAGCTCACTGCCGTCCACCAGAACGAACCAGAAACCGATGGAGTTCTTCGGGTTGAGCCCTGGAAGTTTGGCGAGAGGAAGTGAAGTTTTGGATTATGAAGGTACGGAACCCAAAATATAAGTACTAGATTTTGTGAATATACTTATGAAGACTATTTGTGCAAAGTTTCAAAAATGCAAAGGTTTTTATTTGGCCGAGATATCATGAAAAATATGAAAAAATTACGGGTGATATTGATCACGTTCAAATTAATTTTTTGTGTTCAGTTACCGTTTTGAAGTATACCGAGTTGGTTTAGGGCGTTATAATGTTGGACAATATTATAGATAATTTAATTTTGTATAAATTTGCCAAATATTTCATTTACCTAGCACCAACAGTTCAAAAGTTACAACAAATACAATAACTGCAGTTCTACTATATAGATGGTAAGAATTCCTACACTAATTTCGTATAAAAAAAAATGTATTAACTGCTTAATTATTTTTTTAGGTCATAATTTCTGGGATACAGAAATTTGGATGTTCCCAGTAATTTTACTGCTGCGACCGGATTTAGCTGAAATTTTGCTGCAATATCGAGCTTCAAAAAAAATTGCTGCCAAAGATTTGGCTGCGGAAATCGGTTGCCGCGGTATTAGGTAAAAAAAATAGTAAAATTCTAACCATTATTTTAGGTTGATAAAAAATTTATTTAGTTAATAAATAAGACTCTACTAATTGAAAAAAACAGTCACTTCATAGACGTGCATTCAGCTTCAATAATAATAAATTACTCAGAAGTTTTCAATTCATTACATTAAAAAATCTTTATATTTTCTTTAAATCATAAATATTTGTCTCCTCAAAAAAAGCTTTCGGACTAAGAGACTTAAAATTTATTACATATTTGTATTTTTTATATTAGATGAATAAATAAAATATTTTTTTTTCTATTTTTTTAGGTTTCCCTGGGAAAGTGCCTTTACAGGCTACGAAACAACACAACCCTGTTGCCCAGAAGTTGCCAAATATCAACATCATATCACCGCAGACGTTTCTTTTGCCATCAGGCAATACTTGGCAGTTAAAGGACCAGAAGATCCTTGGATACAAGATAAAGTAAATAAATAAAATAAATAAAATACTAAAGTTATGTAGTTTCAGTAAACCACAAGATAGAGATGAATCAATAATACGTTGTATACGTGGCGGTGGTACGTAACAGAAAAGACACAAACATGTATTCATTTTGTATCATGTGGTAACTGTTTCGTTAGCTACGTTTGAATATTTTTACAGCTCTGTTTAACCAATTAAATACTACTATTATTAAAGGAATAAATAAATGTTTTTCTTTCACACTAATTTAAAACATAGCAAAAACAACAAGTTGTGTTACGTA